GATTCTCGACATTCCTGATTATTGATGTTTGACATGGTCTACATGATGGTTATGATAATTAATGAGGATTAATGATTATAGTAGCCTATTTAAGATGAGGATGGTAATGATGATGTATGATGGTAATGATGATTATGATGTTGATTAGATGGTCAAAACGTGTAGATTATAGATTCTTATAAGTATATCGAGTTGGTGTTTGACAATAAACTTTGTTGGAGGGACCATACTGATTATTATGTAGTTAAGAAATTAAATAGTAGACTCTACTGTCTTAGAAACCTTGGTTCTTTTGGGGTTAAGCAGGAAATAATTTATGATGTTTTACGTATCGGTGATGTTTTCTGTTTGGGGGTATTGTATGTTAAGGTGGGCTGGGAAAATAAGTAAAGGGGATAAAGAGAAAATAGTAAGGGTGCTGGGTAGGGCAGGGAAAGTTATCGGTTCGCCTGTGCAGTCACTGACTCATTCTACCACGAAAGGCTTGCCATTGTTTTTTAAAAATATCCTAGAGGATGCCATCCACTCCACGCGTATATGATCGGCTCCCGCATAGGCAGAAGTGGTAGAATGAGGACAGTGGGTGCGCATACGGACCGTTACAAGTACTCATTCTACCCAGCTGGGATTAGGGAGTTTAATTTTAGATATTCAAGAAGAATAATTATATAGGAAGTGAGCAATGTAATTTCCAAAAATAATTGGACAATTAAATTAATCTGTATCTGTATCTGTATTAATGATTATGATGGTAATACTAATAATGGTGATGGTGGTGGCGGTGATGATGATTAGGGATGATAATGATGAGGATATTGATGATAGTAGTTGTGATTAAGAATGATGATGGTGTGATGATAATTATGATGATGATGATGATGATGATAATGATGGTAATGATGATGGTGGTGGTGGTGATGATGATGGTTAGAGATGATGGTGGTGATATTGATGATAGTGGTGAAAACGATCAGGAATGATGATGGTGGTGATGGTAATGGTGATGGTGGTGTAGTGGTAATAATTATGGGTGGTCATGGTAATGATGATGGTGATGAAGATTAGGGATGATGATAGAGTCGATATAATGATAATAATGATGATGGTGATGATGTTGATGATGATGATTATGATGATATGCAGTGGTGTAGCGAAGAGGTGGATGGTGGTGGTGATGATGATGATAATGATGATTATGATTAGGTATGATAATGATGATGATATTGATGATAGTGATTGTGATTAAGGATGATGATGGTGTGATGATGATAATGATGATAATAATAATAATAATAATAATAATGATAATAATAATAATGGTAATGATGATGATGGTGATGATAGTTAGATATGATGGTGATGATGATGATAGTGGTGATAATGATTAGGGATGATGATGGTGATGGTGATGATGATGATGGTAATGGTGATGGTGGTGTAGCGGTAATAATTAGTGGTGGTGATGGTGATGATAATGTGATGATGGTTATGGTAATGATGATGATGATGATGATTAGGGATGATGATAGAGTAGATAATGATAATAATTATGATGTTGATGATTATCGTAATGATGATAAAGTTGATGATAAAGATGATGATGATGATGATAAAGATGATGATGATGATAATGATGATGATATGCAGTGCGTAGCGAAGGTGGTATTAAAGTATTAGTCTAATACCTTCAACATTTAAAAAATATGTTGGTATGCTCTCCTTAATTCGACAAAGTAACGAAAACAGTGCGACATTCAGTATTTTTACCAGATTTTACATTGTAAGTGATCCAGGTGCCGCCCATAGAAAAGGTATTTGTCTGATACGTACCTAAAAGCTATCTTCAAAATGATAAATGACTAGTTAGCGGTATGTCAGGCTCACAGTGTAGTTTTGATGAAATTAGGTATTTGTTAGTACCTGCTAGTACAGTACAGTACTAAGATTATGCGGCGTCAATGGCGTCCAAATACTCATGTCA